TTATTACTCTGTAATGGCAACAGTGATTATTGTACTCTGAAGATAAAAAGGATCACTTCTCTGCACTTTTAGTCTAGTTCAGGGTTGCTCAATCTTTTGGCTCTGTAGGTTGGATGAGTGGCATGAGGTCAGTCCATAAGTTGCATTGAGCCCCACATGCCAGGATCTGGCCCCACACTGCCTCCACCTGGCACCACATGCCTATTTTGAGCCCATATTGCCCAGCCCTACACACACAGATCAGGCCTACACTGTCCCAGCCCAGACTGGGCTTTGGCCAACCCTGCTGGCCATGCCCCCCCACCCCCCCGGATTGCACCCATACTGCCTCTGCCTGGATTGGGCCTGTGCTGCACTGCCCGCTGCTGGCCCTGTTGTTCTGATAAGACCTTGCTACCCTCATCTAGCCCTGTGTGCCCAGACTGGGTGCTGAGCTGCTTTGACCTGGCCTCATATACTGGAATCAGGCCCTGTGCCACCCTAAGGACTTGGACTGGCCCTGCATGGCCTTGAACACTTGATCCTGCACACACAGCTCATAAGGCCATGCTATCCAGGCCACAGGGCTCCCCACAGGCCCAGAAATTTGATAGTAGGGGAGCTGCCACTGCTCCCCCACTTTCAAATTATCATATCTACAGGCTGGATTACATGGCTCCAGGGGCCATATCTGACCCCCCATTGGCTGGGGGTTAACCACACTGGTCTAGTTTAGGGACCTATCCAGCTACACAAAGGGTGAGTCTACATGTGCTAATTTAAGGTGCTTTAGCCCACTTTAAGGTGCATTAAGGGCCTGTGTCTACATGTGTGTGCCCTTAATGATCCTTAAAAATGGCAGTTTTAGGCTATTCATGGCTAAATTTGATACATGCAAAAGCACTGTGTAGATGCATTAAGGTGTATTAACGCTGTGTATGGACTGATTTGGGACTAACTTTAGTCCCATGTCAGTCCATGCACATGGTGTTAATGCATTTTAATGTGTGTATGTGTAGACTTAAGCCTAAATTGCCTTAATATGCATTAAGTTAATGTGCATTAAATTTAGGCATGCCTAAATGCACATGTAGACACACCCAAAGAAAATCACAATCTCCACTGTGTAGCCTTCATGGTCCACTGTGGTTGAGAGGTTCTCCTGAGGCAGTGGAGCTCTGCATCTTTTTCCTTCTCTAGTGCAGTTCAAAACTGTGATTTATAGTTTTAAAATTATCATTGCTCAGTAGGTATTGTCATCTGAAATAGATATTGTGATGTCTGTTAATACAAGGCTTGTGAAGGCAATTCCCCTTCCCTTCTAGTGACAGTTGTCATAAATATATTTTCCAGAGACAAAATTTTGGGTTAAGTTTTAGAATATTACATCTCCAGTATACAAAGTATACCCTGACCATTGCATACTGTACCTATAATATCCAAATCTGATGGCTATAACCAGCTGTGATCGATCTTAGTTTCAAATAATATGTTAATTACTTGCTCAGCATTAGCCAGTCTGGATGTTGTTTAGTTCAGCCTAAGAAGAACAGATTTTTTTTTCTGATGCTGAGTGTTTTTTTCACTTTCATGTACAACTCCTTTCTATTTGAACAGCTCATGTAGTTCATGCTGCAGTCTAGGTGTTACTGCATATTTCCTTGTTAAACTTTACAGTGTAACATTACCACTTTTTGTTACACTGTAAACATTTCCAAGATACAAAATCCTGTTTTTTATTACAGGTCTGAAATGGTAAAAGCCCTCCTCCTCAGAACCATGAAGAAAGCCCCTTTAACAAATTAAATGTACACAATCTTCATTAGCTTTAACCTTAATTTGGTTTCAAGGGTATTAGAAGGTCAAACAGGTGCTTTTCTTTCTTCCTTCCTTTCTCTCTTGTAATTCTGTCTTAGTAAATGTAGCAAAATCACAAGGAAGTGTTCCAGATAACAGCTGAAATAAGAGTGAGGCAAAGTTCTGGATGACTCACAGCAATTACACCACTTCGGGACAAATGCATTCCTGGTATAATTCTAGAGAAGTCATTTTTGGCATGTTTGGCATATTACATACTATATTTCAGCTTTTCCACATTTATTGCACATTTCTCTCTTTGAATTAGATATCATGAAATGTCCTTTCCCTCCTCTGCATGGTTGCCATATGTTTAATTTAGAAACCATAGGAACAACACAACACAGCTTTAAGAAATATTTTGGATTCTAGCCTCTCTTCTACTTGAAAAACCTCAATTAAAAATAGCTGAAGAATGGAAAAGGAATAAGTGAAGATCACCCCCTCCCCCTGCCTTTCTGTCATGAACACACGGAAAATCCTTTATGCCAGCAACAAGGAGGCATCTTGGACAGGAAGGAGCAATATGTGGGTTCTCTGTGGCATCATGTTCTGGGAAAGTCATTGTTGTCTGTTAGCAAAATTTCTGTGCAGAGCAGTGATATCCCCTCAGTATGACATAACTTGTCACTGGCAGCTGCTATTTTTCTCAAGTATGTCTATACTGTATTTGGAGATATCATTGTAGTATATGTAAATGTACCTGTGGTAGCTTTCTTTACGCTTGGTAGCTTGAGTGCCCATAGGAGCAAAACTGTAGTGGCATAGACTAGGAAAGGCTGTACAAGTCTGTCTGGGATCCTAGTTAATTGTACAGCCCATAAATAAGCCTGTAGCACCACTGTTCTTGGCACCCAAATTAACTTGACAAGAGCTAACCAATCATGACTATGTGTGCTGTAACTGTACACATGTTAAGGAGCATTAATATGGATGTGCAGTCCAACTTGGGAGTAAACTTAGTCCCAAGTCAATGGACACACACTGTATTGATGCACATTAGTGTGTCTACATGTTCGCTAATGTGACTTAGCTATTCGTTCATACATTTGATACCTGCTTTATGCAGATATCAAATTTAGGCTTAACTAGCCTAAAATCGCCATTTTAAGGTGCATTAAGGGTGTGCACATGTAGATGTAATTGCAAGGCCAGTAAATGCACATGTAAATGCACATGTGTAGAGATGCCCAGAATGTATCAGTTTGGAAGCTGAAGGCAATTCAGTGATTCATCCTGCCTTGAGGGAAGGCAGTTCAGGAAAAAATCAGTCAGAGCTGTCATTCTTCATGGGCACCACAAACTGTTAATTAGAGCTCTCCTGTAGCCCAAACACCAATAAACAGTGCTATCGGGAGAAGGGTGCACAGAAAATTCACCTGGCACAGTATATATTTGAAGAGCACCTGCAGAGGAGGGCTCAGACTTGCATGAACTTCTGGGGACCACCACACTAAATAAACAATATCAACACTGATGATGATGACGATGATGATAACAATTAATCATAACGAGAGGCACTGGATACAGCGCTGGTCTAAGATTGGGGGTTCTGAAACTACTCTCTGTTCTGTCATAGACTTGTAAGGTGACCTTGGGAAAATCAGTTCACTTCTCGTTTTCCCCATTTGCAAAACTGGCACAATTATAAAACCGATTGAGAGTTCCTGTTAGAAAGTACCATCTAGAGTCTAGGTAACAATTAAAAATAAATTTATAATGCAATAGTGGCAAATGCTTTATCACTAGGATTAAACTAATTATAAATGTTATAGGGATAACTACCAAAACTGTCTCCTTGTTTCTAAGTCCTTTTAGGTTTTGCTTGAGTTTTCTAATTTTGCAAGTGGATAGCAAGTAGCAAGAACAAGTGGTTCTGAAACACTTCACCCTTTGGTGAATCTGTTATTCAAAATGCTCTTTTTGATACAAGGTATTGTTCTGGCCTTGCAATTACATCAAACTTCATTGTGCTACGCACCAGTACAGTAACATCTCTTCATAATTCTCAGATGCTTGGGGGCAGCCTTGTCTAGATGTGCAGAGATTTACGCACATAAGTCCCATTAGCGTTAATAAGAGTTTTGTATATAAATCCCCAGACACTGCAAAATGGCTCTTGTGTATCCTGTAGCTGCCAAGGGTGGAGTCTTACTTATAATGAGACTGAAAAGAGTATAGGATTTTTAATGTCTCTTCTGAATAAGGATGGACTTTTTCTGGGTAAACCTATGGTAAGTGTGATGATCATGAGATACTATATGAGTGGTCTGAGTTATCTACATGCCCACTGAAAATCCAGTGGACTTTACTGTCATTCTTACCAGTAGTAGACTCAGTGCAGCTAGAAGCCTGGGGATACTGGATATAGCTATTAGTCAAGTCAGTTAACTAGAATAGGAACAATGGAGAAGATGAGTTGTTTCCAGAATCCCTGCAGAATTTCCTACACCAAGCCTGACTGATTAGGCTTTTTTGGTGGGGGTGAGAAACAAATATTACCATTGAGAAAGTGCTGGCATTTGTGCAGTGTGTTAATTTTATTCCAGTGTTTTTTTTAAATAGATTTATTGCAAAAATGTCTTGTTGCACACTAGCCTTAAACAAATTTGTATACAGGATAGATTACATATACAACGTGTAGTTGTCAAAACAGTGTGATTTGATTAATGATGCTGTTAATTCTCTGACTTATACAGATCCCTCCCCTTTTCGGTTGATATCATGCATTGCAAGGTTAATGATTTTTCTTGCTAGCCTTTTCATACTTCTGTCATATTATAAATGGCTCTCCTTTTTGTTAGTGAGTAGGAATCAGGATCACTGTCATTGACACCTTCAGGCAACACCAGAGGTGAAGGCATCAGCAATAACACTACACTTCTGCAAGTCATTTGGAATTTGGAATTCCTGTCAACAAGTACGACTGGCTCCCTTTAAGCACAACATAAAGAGATCAGCTTGCTCTTCTTTGGTACGTGCTGTGATTCTCAGCGCTGTCAAGGCATACCGAAGTAAAACATGTTCACTCTGGCTGTACAGTCTTTTAAATGTTTTTTGTATCTTCCTCCAGCCTTAAGCTGATGTGCTTTATAATCAGAAAGCCAGAAAGATGCTTTAGGGAAACAACATGGCTTCATATGTATAGGTCTGTAAAAATATCCAGCTTTGATTTACAAATGGATCAAAGGTGTGTATGCTTTCCATGCTTAATACTCCCTGTGACCCTGTGATATCACTAGAACTTCTGGTTTTGCAGGAGCTCAGGACTAAGCTTCTGGTCAAACATTCATTGTCGGCCTGGTTCTGCTATCTTTAACTCCCAGTGGGTCTACATGAGATGCTTACTGCTCAGTTGACTAATTAGCTGTGCAGTAAACATCTCAGAGTCTACACATGTGTCCCTATTAGAGCGCACTAAACTAATAAACTCTGCAGCAGGTTTGCACTTGTACTGTAAATACAAGTACTATCCTGCTGTGGAGGTTTTTTTTATGTGTACAGCAGCACAGTTGTAGACACCAATCAGGTGGCTAGGGCATGAGGGTACTTCAGTGCAAAAACTGCCTACTGGCTAGCCCCACACTTAAGCACCCTTGTGCTGCAGCCAGCTCCACTGCAGCACATTGAGCCTGGCTGGAGCAGTCCCTGGCTGGCAGGCTGACCTCTGGGGGCTGCTCTGACTTGGCACAATGTGCTGTGGTTTCAGCGCATATGTAAACTGCACACTTTTTATAGCACTAGCCTCAATTGGTTAGCACTTCAAAACATTTAAAACCTATTATCCATCACAAACATGAGGCAAGGAACTTTAGTAAAATGACATATGCAATACCAGTTGTAATTATTTCCTATCCTTGTACAGAACACATTCTTTAAACTTTCCAAAATGTGATATATCAACAGTATCAGGTACAAATATGCTAATTAAATACATTAAGAACTAAACTGGACAGTCCTTATGCTCTTGACATCAGTGGGACTAGCATATAAGAAAGTACTCAGCAGTATAAAGATTGAATAATCTAATACAAATATTTAACTGAACAGACTTAAACCTTTTAAGATTAATACTTTACTGTTCTGTAATATGACCATCACGCAGGGATGGTATCTATAACATGGCAATTAAGGCTACACAAATAACAGATGAATAACTCTGGTAATAAGGTTATAACTGTATCAATTGCTACATACTCTAAAATACCTTAGCAGATGCATATGAATTAGAAATGTGTAAAGTTGAACCACTTAACACAATTATAGATAAGCCTTCTTATACTCAATCAAGGCTTATCAGCATCACTAAAGCCAGGTTTCCAATTTTTGTCAACTTAGTTTTACTTAGTCGATACCTGTTCCCAATCCTGCAGTTTCTGCTTGATTTAGGTACCTGTGACTAGCACACTGATATTTACAAAGGTATGCTCATACTTTCAGCAAGGGTTCAGATATTACACAAATGGGTTGTAAAGCACAAATTCAGTTTCTGCACAAATTGCAATAAGCTATTTAAAAACAGCATAAAAAGTAGAGATGAAAACAGGTTCTGAGGTAGCCTTGCTGTTGCTAGAAAGCAAGAGCATCTCACCTAATAATTTACACATGGCCTGTTGCCTGACATTTTAAAGGCCTTTTTGATTTCTTTCTTTTGGTTCTTTGCGTTGTGAGCCACTGTAGGGTGCAGTACATTGCAAGCAGTGGACTAAATACCAAGCTTATTTTGCTAATATCTCTTTTAGAAGAAAAAATGATTGGGTGCTTTTATAAATGGTTACTCCATGGGTGTCTGTAGAAAGCAACTTTTATCCAGTGCCTTTTAAAAGCTTTTCAGACAAAAACCAATCCATAAAACTGCCAAGTGCAAATTTTCAACTATTATCAAGGCAATAATTCTTTGACACCTTATTAAGCTGATTTGCTATTTCAGTTGGCACAAATTAGGAACAGAGTTTTATCTAATATAATATGATTTTGGAAATTAATTTAATTCAGGGCTGTCAAAGATACAGTCCATGCACTGAATCTGGCCCACAAAACCCTATCACCTGGCCTGCAGTGCTGCTCGTGGGCCTTGGACTGAACCAGGAGGCTGCATGTGACACATACCAGAAGAACCCCATGCACTGTGCACAGCACATGGGGCTGGTGCTAGGGCACACTGCACACAACATGCAGTGGGGCTGGGCTGGCTGCATGTGGTGCCTCTGCTGGAAGGGCTCTTCATTCTGGATCCAGTCCATCTTGCAGGCCCAGTTCAGTATACAGACCAGTCCCGTGTGCCAGCCCCATCATGAGTTTGGCACATTAAGGTACGTTATTCCCTTTCTGTAAATTTGTTGTGTATTCACTTTTTTATTATATGTATGTGGCCATAATATTAGGGCACAGTGAATTATATTTTATGGGAGAGGCAACTCTTTGGTGGGTGGACAAATATATATTTCCACAACTGTATTATGCTTCTGCACAAGGAGATAAGTCTGAAAATCTGAAATGGAAAAATGACAGATTGGGAACTTCAGCTACAAAATTCAAGCTAAAAGGATGCAAACATTTCTACATTAACTTAAAAAACAAAACACATCCTGAACTCAAAGGGAGGAAAATCACATCTGTAGTTTATGCCAAACTGGGTCAAAATATACATGTATTTAAGCGTGACATGAACTCAGTTGAAAGAGAACATGAAGTAGATACACAAAATCATAGAATCTGGATTAGATGCATAACCACTGCAAGTCAGTTGACTTTGAACAAGTTATAACAGGGACATTTGGTCCGTTATGTCTCCATTGGGTCAGATTTAGAGTAGGAGGTCTTGAATTAATTTGTAGTTAGCAAATTTTAAGTATCTGCATTTAAATTACACATGTAATATGTTATACAATCTGAGAAGAAGCTGTGGGGAGCTCTTGTCAGCTGTGCTCCGTATTATCAATACACACATATTAAAAGGTGAGTATCCTTTAGATTTACAGACTGATTTGGTTTGGCAGAGACTTCTCGTGGCTCATCTCATTTACCCTCCCGTATAACAGAGACTTATTTAATTATTCTCCAAATGATCACTGTGAGAAGTGTCACTTCTAGCCTTCGATATCTCTCTTGACAGCATGTTACTTTGCTTAAGTGATCTCATAGTTCCAGCATTTTCATAATATTTAACCTAAATTTTGTGGACTACAGATTAAACCCACTTCTTCCCTTAGCAAGCACAATGGCTTCACTGCTATCAAACCATATTTCTAACATGAAACAGGAATTTATACTATGCCTCTTTTCTCAGAATACTTGCCGTCAGGTTGACCTTTGACTCTCACACCTTAAATACATCTCCTGGCATCCTGTGCAAAAGAAAACAGACATCACTTGCTTCCTAAATAGTTTACAACTTTCCTTGGCTAATTAATCAGTCTGACACAAATTGCTGTTCATTTACCTTGACCTAGGAAATATGGACCAAAGCACCAGAGCAACAATTGTCAGAACCATGTTCAACAGGTATATATTTAACTGGTGATGGAAAAAGGGAAGTATGTTCACTTGGCTGTATTTTTCCATTCTGCTACACCAGTGCAACTTTCCTGCCAATGTGCCTACTTCATTGCAGGCAAAAATGGAATATGGTTTCATTGGGCCTGCTCCAATCCTGGTGTAATTCAACCAAGCTCAATAAAGTTGCTTGAGGGAATAATTTGGCCCAGTGTATTCAAACATTTGCCATCTGCTAAAGCACAAAAACCACAACAGAAAAGGCCAAACTGAAACTGCTCATTACAGAATGAGGACGTGAACCTACCATGGCCATGTGACACAGTATCATTTTTCAGATATCCTTGGGAATCTTTTCCCATGCTTTTGCAGGCGGAGAGAAGGGCTGGAATACGTGAAGTGACAGATGAAGAAAGGAAATATGGTTTTTCTTTTCCTTTTCTGCTATTTAGGGAAGAGGCTGCATTTTGAATAAATAGTAAAAGCACCTATAGGTTATAGATAGCCAAATAAGCATCTAAAATAAAGAAAGAAATGGTACACATCCTACCTTAGGCAATTCTCAAATGATCTCCCTAATAGAAAGTTTTTTCCTATCATGATTTATTGGTGATTTGCTTGTGACCTGAAACAACAGGGAATGGACAGAAGAGCAAATACTGTGGTGTAGTATACCTGTTTTTTTCTATACTAATGTAAATTACAGCATGATCAGGAACATACAAATTTGCTGCTCTAACAGGAGTTGCATGCACCTTTCACTACATTGTGGGCTGCAAAGAATAGTCTGTTTCCCTTTAGCAAATAGGTGCCTTGATGGACATAGACAGATGAAATCTAAACTCCTGTATATTACACCACAGTCTTACCCTTGATTCTTTCAGAAGACTGCATCATCTGTCCACTACTTTTGTACACAGGCATAATGCTGATTTCATCAACAAAATGGTTGAATGTTAATGCCATGAATAAAAGAGTAAAAGCATTGTCATATTGGGCCCTGGCCCACCACGTGAACTATACTCAAAACTCCAGCAGAACTGCATATGTGTTCCATATGAAGAAAACTAGCAGTATTAAATATAGCACTGCCTTATGTAATGCAACACCTTTGAATATGCTCATGGTATTCCCAAATCCTGGATGCTTGACCTCACATTTTTATTCTGCTACAACATATGAAGGAGCATTGACTTTAATGGATTCACAAAGGGTGTAAATCAGAGGACAATTTGGTTCTTAGATTCTATTTTTACACTCACGTAACGTATTGTCAGGGAATATCATTCATAATTTAATTGTTACTGAATCCAGAACCTGAGACGAAACAGAAACTTCAGCAGTACCTTAAATATAATCCGGTATTTTGCGAAGGAACATAACAAGTGATTCGGCGTCTATATAAATGATTATATATATTCTACCTAATGCAAGATCCTCAGTAGGTCTATATTGATACGGCTCTGTTGTTTTCAATGAATCTGAATTAAACCTGCTGTGAATATGGCCCTAATATTTAAATGTAAGGCTGATTTAAGAAAATTTGCAAACAAGCAATCTGAACATTTAATAGCTGCTTGTATGAGATTTCAAGCAACCTTTTCTAAGAGTGTGACATTTGCACATGTGAATTGGAATTATTTATATAAAACTAGCATACTGTCATAGAACACAACTACCCTCCACTTAGCCAAAAACATGTATTTGCACACAACTATACATCTTGCTTCTAAAGCATATGTATTAAAAAAGAAAAGAGCAAAATGGATCTGTGTTTCTAGATGCTGTTCCTAAGGAAAACAGCCTTGGAAACATTACCAGCTGATGAATAATAGCATGACAATTTTTACTTGGAAACATGAGCTTCATTGTTTTTCTAGCAACATTAGTGTATGGTTT